CCCACACACACACACACACACACACACACACACACACACACACTCATTCCTCTAGTGTCTTGCCTTTAAAAACAAACAGATAAACATGGGATCGCCTTTTTGTAGGTTTCTAGAAAGGGCTCCTTTGTTGCACACTCCTAAAAAAAAAAATGAGACAAAAAGGTTAAACCCACAGCCAAACTAGGACACTCCGTTCCCTGAAACCATTTAAAAATCAAACAAAAGGACCCCAAATTAAGAATCTAGGAAGCTCAGAAAGAAAAAAGAAGAAAAAAAAAATCTAGGTTCAGGAAGGCTTCAATTGGTGTTACCCAATTGGCACAGATCAGTTTCAGAAAAATGCTTCCAAGAACTCAAGACTAACCGAATGAACCAAGTCCGCAGTTTATTTTTATACTTTCAGTCAAGTTGGGACTCCGTAGAACCTCACAAAGAAGTTATACTTTCTGTTCACTTTGTATTTGTTCGGTATGCAAAGTGTGGCACTCTAGCTAGCTGCCTTCAGTTCCCATGTAGACTCCTGTTCTGTAGGAAGAATGCCAAATCGCAGCTTATTATTCTATTTTTTTTCCTTTTGTCTTTCTTCCACTGTTTCTTTTCTTTCTTTTTCTTCCTCTCTTCCAACTTTGCTTTCCAGTGTTTACAAGTTGACAGATGTTTGACTTTGGTTGTGTTTAATGTCTGTGTAAAATAGCTGCCATTTTTTTTCCTTTTGAGCAGCAAGTACCCCCTAGAGGCAGGCAGAATCCTCCCAGGTTGCTTTTAGCACATGGCGAAGGTTACAAAAGATGATTGTTTACAGTGGGTCTACCTTCCACCCCCACACCCCTCCAATTCTGATTCATTTGCAGTTTTTACCTGTGTCAAAATGGGGTGAAAGCCCTCCCCTTGTGGAATGATTTTTGCCTTTTTCTTTCCTGTTTGGTTCTGTTGCTATTATTTCTTAGGGGGAGAGGGGGATGTTAGACCACTTTCAGATTAGCTGCCACCTGCCTGTGTCTGTGACACTGGACCTGCCTCCCAGGTGTCTGCACACCCTTCCTCTGAAGGACTCCTTTGGCTTTGTTGAATGAAGCAGAGAAGATTGTATAGTTGGGGCTGGTCTTGGTGAACACACTTTTTTTTTTTTACCCCAAACACCCCCTTTTTTTGTAGAAAGCCAAATAAAATATATACGTACCATTTCCTTTTGAGCCCAGAATCTAGATTTGAGCGGAAGAGCATGTGTGCTTCAGGGAAGTAGTGTCTCCTTTTGGAAATCTGTTGAAGTAAAGTGACATCGGCCTTCTGTTCACTTAGGCAACATTTGTAAAAAAACAAATACTGTCTGGAATTATAATACAACTTTCCTGGATTGGAAACCAAGTGGGGGGAAAAATACAGAAACTTTCAGGGGAATGGGAGGGGGGAGAAGGGAAAAGCCAGCCCTTTGTATAGAAATTTTGCTTTTGTTTTTCATTCTACTTTAGAACCGCAAGCTTGTACACTGTGGATGCGTGAATATTTTAGTGTGAAACGTGTTTTTGTCATAGTATTGAAATAAAACTTCAACATAGTTTGGTTGTGGAAGGTATAGCAGATAGTTCAGAAAAAAAAAAGCTATTCAGGAAACAAAAACCCGAAATGTCAAAAGGAATCGAAGCCTTTCAACAAAGAAAATGAAATACAGGTGATGCTGATGAAGAGGACCCTAAAGCCAACAGATGTCCATCAGACAGCACAGGTTCCTTTCCCAAGTACAAAGCAACAAGAGGTTAGGGTGGCAGATGGTCTCGTGTCCACTTTGTGGGCCACACACCCCAATGTTCTGACACTTCTGCAGTGTGATCAGTGGCGATGCTAGATTATAATTTCAAACTGTGAAAAATAATGGTCTTGTCATTTACTCAATGTGGGGTTATTTTGCATTTTCTCAGCTCCTGGGGATGGAAATGGAGGATTCCAGAACATTCAGCCTGGCCCTTCTCATCCCAGGGCCTGCACAGATCTGTAGTTAACAGGTCCTCAGGAAGAGCTATTGGGAAGACGACTCTGAGGGCACACAGCATAATGGGAGAGGTGGATAGCATCTGAGCCAGAGAGGTCCTAGTGGTGAGGGACAGACTCCTTTAGCCAGTGGGATCTGTTTCCCATAGTGTGAAGTCAGTGGCTTGAGCAGCTAGGCCAAGGGCACACTGTACCTCCTGGAAATGGTGTTTTTCACTCTGTTTGTGGTTCAACACATTGAGTTCAATTCTGATGACTAGGATGAGACAGAACAACCCCAGAACAACCTGGCCCAGGGTGGCTGACCTCCCGAACACTGGCCCCACCATTCGCTGGAATCAGACAGCCCACACTTTGATCTGCCTCTCTCTTTATGTTTGTCTCATCATGCATGAGTTTTCCTTTCTTCTTTTTTTAAAATCAGTAATCTCTCTAAAATCAATGTATTTCCCACATGTTCTATCTTTTATCTGAAGAGATAAACAGTTTCCTTGTTTGTTTGGTTTTTTTTTTTTTAAGTTTTTGGAAGGAGGGATGGACTCGACCAGTTTCATTGTCGATATGTCGTATGTCTATGTGGCATACATATGTATCACATAAAGACCAGCATGGCCAAGTTCTGTGGGAAGGCCACCCAGGTGCCATGAGTGGGGTCTCCCAATCCTGAAGGGCCAAGGTGTATTCAATAGGACTCTATGTTCTCACTTTTCTATGGAACCTCCCACATCCCAGGGTGTCACCCTCAGCTGTCCGTCTGGATGGTGGTGATCACACCTCCATTACCATCCTTACCCAGCATTCCGTACTTCGGGGGCCTTCTCTCTTGTTATAAAACTTTTTACTGAGTGAAACATCAACACCACCTTTGTTTCCATTCTCACTGCTGTAAATACTGAGTACTAACTGAGAATTTTGACTTTGCATTCTGTCAGAATACTTGTGTTCAATAAAATTGAAAGAAAAAAAGCAATTATAGTTAAACTTGGATTTCTTTCTGTTCAGAGAGAGAGTTTGTGTTTGAATAATTATGGGTATGCCTGTGTTCTAGTTTTTGTGGTGGGTTGGTTAGTTTTAGGGTGGGGGGTCTGTGGTTACTTTTGTTTTAGGACTTAGTAAGTAATATCATTTTGTCTTAGACACATGTAATATCTTGGGTCTATAGTCCTAGTACTCAGTAGGCTGAGGCAGGAGAATTGCCATGAGTTTGAACAACACAGTAATTTCCAGGTGAGCCTGGGCTGCAATTAAAGATCACATGTATCAAACAAAACAGAAAAAAAAAAAAACCCGTGTGTGTGTGTGTGTGTGTGTGTGTGTGTGTGTGTGTGTAAAACTATCTTGATTTCAGGTTGTCTAAATGGTGGTTTCTTTCCCCTTTTCTTAACTTTTGTTTTATCAATTGGTAGAGAGTTCCAGTTTAAAGGGACCAAACCTGAGATTTAAAAGAACTTCATTCAAAATCCTGGTTCCGTCAATTCCTACATGATCTTGGAAGAGTTTTTTCTTCTCTCTAAGACTCAATTTTCTCTTTTGCTGGACAGGAAGTCCCCAGGAAATAGATGTCCGTCCTGGTCGATGAGAAAGGTGGTGTATATGTGGTGTGTGTGTGTGTGTGTGTGTGTGTGTGTGTGTGTGTGTGTGTGTGTGTGTGTCATAGTGTTTTCTTGGCTCATAGTAAATAAATAAGAATTAGTTCTGTTGGCATCAATGACATACAGCACCCTCTAGTTTAGCTATAACAACAGCCAATACCTAAGCTTCAAAATCACAACCTTGAGGTGAATGCACAGGGCATTTTCCAGACTCTCTCTCTCTCTGTCTCTGTCTCTGTCTCTGTCTCTCTCTGTCTCTCTCTGTCTCTCTCTCTCTCTCTCTCTCTCTCTCTCTCTCTGTGTGTGTGTGTGTGTGTGTGTGTGTGTGTGTGTGTGTGTGTGTGTCAGCCTTTGAAGCCATCATTCATCCCTGGGAATTTGTTAAAGCAGGCAGAATGCAAACTCTGAATTCTCTTGCATCTGCTGCCAGTTGGCTCTCTGCAAACAGCCTCTACAGTTGGAAGTGTCCATTAAACTATGGAGTTGGGAGGTTCCTGAAGAAGGAGCCCCGGCTGCAAGGCCAGGATGAGAGTGAACCAAGAGAGGTTCCTAGAGCATAAAATATAAGCAGGTACCCATTAAGGGATTACTTGGCCCTTGTACAAATCTGAGGGTGACATCTTCATTTTATGTCCAAGGTGCCTTCCTCACTTGCTTATTCTGATGAGATCAAACATCTTCAGTGATGTGGTTTTGGACCTCTTCTGCTTTCCATCCTAATACCACGTCCCATGCAACTGTGCAGTTTCTTTCTCCACAGGTTCCCAGCTGTGTATGTCAGAGGTGGATAGGGAAGAAAAGCTCACAGTTTATCCAGAATTGGACAAGACATGCAATGAAGACTGTCTGCATTGATCCAAAAGAGCTGCTTCCCAATGCTAACTTGTTCCAAGTTATTTTCCTCTCAGACTCCCTTAAAGTGTGGAGCTTTTCCAAGATGTAGAGGTGAACAAATCTGCTCTGGTGGACGCTACATTTGTGTATAACAGTACACACAGCCACACAATCAGCTCTGGAGGAAGGTATATTTATGTATGAGAATAACGCGCGCACACACACACACACACACATACACACACAAATATGATGGCTATCAGGATTATTCACAACACTCTCACTCTACTTTTCCTCCTTCCAGGCATGTGGTGGCCTTGTACTACTCTGCTCCCAAAGTAGGTATGACTGTGTGATTTGCTTTGGTTGATGAAATATAAGCACAAGTAATGCTTATATAAAAATAAGCATACCTAGATAGAGCTTTTCCATGTCTTTCTTCCCTCAGTATAGCAGTCAGCAGTGTGCAGG